CTTCCAATTTTCTTCCAAGAAGCCCCAGAGACGCCAAGGGGCAAGCATATTGATTACCTTAAGGTTTTGGACAGTTTTTCGGGCTCTCCCCTTCTCGGGTCCAGAAGGCACCCGACGGCCCAAGAGGCCCCCAACATCGTCCCAAGACGGCCACAGAGGTGCCCCAAAGGGGCCGACAACGGTCCAAGAGGGGCCCCAGACGGGCCCCAGACGGCCCAAGAGGCTCCAAATATCGTCCCACGACGGCCCCAGTGCCCCCCCCCAAAGGGGCCGAAAACTGTCCAAGAGGGCTCCCCGGCGACCCAAGAGGGCCCCAAGACGGCCCAAGGGGGCCCCAAGACGGTCCCAAGAGAGCGCCAAGAGGGCCCCCCAGAGGCTCCCAAGATGGTTCGAAGAGGCGGTATGGGGACTGGGCTGCTTGGGTGTGGGGACTGGGCTGGCCCCCAGACGGCCCAAGAGTGCCACAACGGCCCAGAAGGGCTCCCAATCTACTCCCAAGAAGCCCCAGAGACGCCAAGGGGCAAGCATATTGATTACCTTAAGGTTTTGGACAGTTTTTCGGGCTCTCCCCTTCTCGGGTCCAGAAGGCACCCGACGGCCCAAGAGGCCCCCAAAATCGTCCCAAGACGGCCCCAGAGGTGCCCCAAAGGGGCCGACAACGGTCCAAGAGGGGCCCCAGACGGGCCCCAGACGGCCCAAGAGGCTCCAAAGATCGTCCCACGACGGCCCCAGTGCCCCCCCAAAGGGGCCGAAAACTGTCCAAGAGGGCTCTCAGACGACCCAAGAGGGCCCCAAGACGGCCCAAGGGGGCCCCAAGACGGTCCCAAGAGAGCGCCAAGAGGGCCCCCCAGAGGCTCCCAAGATGGCTCGAAGAGGCGGTATGGGGACTGGGCTGCTTGGGTGTGGGGACTGGGCTGGCCCCCAGACGGCCCAAGAGTGCCACAACGGCCCAGAAGGGCTTCCAATTTACTTCCAAGAAGCCCCAGAGACGCCAAGGGGCAAGCATATTGATTACCTTAAGGTTTTGGACAGTTTTTCGGGCTCTCCCCTTTTCGGGTCCAGAAGGCACCCGACGGCCCAAGAGGCCCCCAACATCGTCCCAAGACGGCCACAGAGGTGCCCCAAAGGGGCCGACAACGGTCCAAGAGGGGCCCCAGGCGGGCCCCAGACGGCCCAAGAGGCTCCAAAGATCGTCCCACGACGGCCCCAGTGCCCCCCCAAAGGGACCGAAAACTGTCCAAGAGGGCTCTCAGACGACCCAAGAGGGCCCCAAGACGGCCCAAGGGGGCCCCAAGACTGTCCCAAGAGAGCTCCAAGAGGGCCCCCAGAGGCAAGAGGGCTCGAAGAGGCGGTATGGGGACTGGGCTGCTTGGGTGTGGGGACTGGGCTGGCCCCCAGACGGCCCAAGAGTCCCACAGCGGTCCAAAAGGGCTCCCCAAATACTCCCAAGAAGCCCCAGAGACGCCAAGTAAAATCATGGCTCCCAACAACGAGCGGTGATATAACAAGCTCTGAGCACCAAGGGTCCCCGCAGCGCGGTGACGTAAAATACTCTTAACAGTAAGGCACCCAAGAGCGAGCGGTAACCCTAACCCTGACACCCTAATCCCAAGCTCTACGCCCGAATCCTATGCCTCAGCCTTGTCTTCTCTTGTCTCTCAGCTGCGTTTTGTTCGGTACGCTATTGCCCCAATCCGGTTCTTAACGCCTCGCATCCGACTCCTAACGCCTTGACTCCTGAGCCTTAGCCTCCTCTTGGGGCCCTCTTGTGTTTTCCTGGGGCGTATCTTGGGGTCCTTTCTGTCGCCAGCGTCGGACATCGAGACGCTTGACCAGAATATCCCACCGGACGCTTGGCCAAAATATCCTGGCGGACGCCCGGTATTGTACCCTTCTCTGTGACCGATGTTCGGCATTAGTGTTGATGGTGGTGATGCTTAAGGTGAGTGTGATGAGGATGGTGAGGAGGATGAGGGAGAGGCGGACGAGGAGGATGATAAGGAGGAGTAGGGCAAGAGACGTTACATGTGACACCTGTCGTCTTCACTTCTCGATGAGCCCTCCTGGATTTTGCGTGGGCTCTCTTGAGTCTGCCCTAGGATCCTGCGGGGTTGTCTCGGGGATCCCTGGAGGCTCTCTAGGGCCGTCTTCGGACTGTCTCGGAGAATTCGTGACCGTCTGGGGAAGCGTTCCAAAAGTATGGTTGTTGTTTCCTGGGTCTTGCTCGATCATCTCAGAAGTACAGTTCCTGTGTTCCGCAAGTCTTCCAAAGGTAAAGTTCTGGTGTTGCGCAGGCGTCTGGCAAACGCTCGGCAAAATTATCCTGGCGTCGGACGCCGAACTGCTTGGCCAAAATATCCTGGCGAACCGCTTGGCCCGAATATCCCGGAGGGCACTCGGCACTCTGGGAGTCTTGGTGGCCGTTGATCGACATACCTGATGATGAGGATGATGATGCCGATGATATTGATGATGGTGGTGAGGAGGACGAGGCGGAGGCGGAGGAAGATGCGGATTATGGCAGGATGCGTCACATGTGATACCTTTTTGTCTTTACTTCTCGACAAGCCCTTCTGGATTTGGCGCGGGCTCTCTTGGGGCTGTCCTGAGATCCTGTGGGGTAGCTCTGGTGATCCCTGGAGGCCCGGCCGCTGCTTGGCCACATATCCCAGCGTCGGGCGCCGAAACGCTTGGTCAAAATAGCCCAGCGGTGGCTTGGCCAACATATCCCAGCAAGCGCTCGCCCAAGATATCCCCAGCATCGGGAGCCCCAAGGCTTGGCCACGATATCCCAGCGCACGCTTGCTCAAAGCCTCCTGGCGGATGCTTGGGCAAAACGCGGCGCCGTAAAGAGCTCTGAGCAGCTGACGTCACAAAGGCTGGCTGAAGAGCGGAAGAGCTCTGCAGAGCTGAAGAGCTCTGAACGGCTCTGAACAGCCGACGTGCCTCGCTCTTTCCGTCACCAAGGCTCCCCAGAGCGCGGTGACGTAAAGAGCTCTGAACAGCAAGGCTCCCCAGAGCGAGCGGCAACGTAAAAGTCTGTGAGCACCGGGGCTCCCAATAGAGAGCAGTATCGCAACAAGCTCTTAACGCCAAGGCTCCCCAGAGCGAAGGGTGCCATGAGCCCTCTCGGGCAAGTTGCTGCAGCGCTCTTTCCGTTCCCGTGCCGGTCCAGGCCTAATGGCTATTTGGGCGGCTCTTGGGCACTTCTTAGGGGCTTTGGCGGGCCATCTTGGGGAGGAGGGCTCCCAGGTGTCAGGTCGAGTTCCCCCTCGTGGGCCTCTCTTGGGGCTCTCTTTGGAGCCTCTTGGGCCTCTCTTGGAAGCTCGGGGACTGTCTTGGAGCGGCCTTGGAGGCCTCTTGGGCCGTTCTGGACGCTCTTCGCACCGCGAAGCCGACAATGTATAGATGACAATAAACTTGAGGGGTTTTGGCGAGTTGATCCTTTTCGGCTGGCCCCCAGGGCCTCGAAGTCGGCCCAGAAGGCTTCTAAGAAGACTCCATGAAGATCCATCTTGAGACGCGTGGGACGTGCGGATTCCCGATCACGCGTCCCTGGCCTCCAGAAAAGTCCGCGTGACGAGCCCCGGGGAGCGCCCGAAAACGCCCAGCCCATGACTTGGGCAGTCTGGGTCCCTTGAGGAGTATGTGCAACACCGATAATTGGAGAGGGGCCGGATGAGACTCCATTGCGTGCCTGCGGCACGGTGGCGGATTGCAACCGTCAATGTCGTTGGTACCATGGCTTTTTCGAACGCAGCATACAAGGAACAAAGCAGGACAATGGAACACTCTCTCGCAGTAGTCCTTACTGTACTTGCTCCAATGATGGCCAAGGCCTTGAGGCTGTTCCGTATTACACCACCGATTACGCGGTTATTGGTCCGCCGACTGTGCCAAACGGAGGGGGTCTTTTCGACAGGCTGTGCTGCGAGGAAGGTGACGACATTCCATGGGAGAATTGCACTACACCGACAGGTCGTTGCCACGCCAACACGTATCCATGGGCTAAGCCTTTCAACCAGGATTATTGGGCAGACAGATATAGTACACCTTGGCTTTGCGTGCGTAATGCTCGTTCAGAGGATCCCCCTTTCAATGTGCAAGAGCCAGATGAGATGCACACGGCGTGCATGAAATCTGGCGACGCGGCGGCAGACGCAGCATGTTTGGCAGGGAAAGCCGCCATTGAATCCAAGGGTTGGCAGATTCTTCATTGTGGCAAGTGCAGCGCGTGCAGCGCTATTCATGACATTATGGTGCTGGAGGCAACAAAAGAGAACATTACCACATTGATGACAGGATGCTCGAGCTCATGGGTGATTTCGCAAAGCAATCCATTTGGCCGTCCCCAAACACTCAGGGAGCTGAAGAACTGTTTGATCGCTCAAGGCATTAATTTCAGCGATGATGGCCGAGCGTGGGCAGATCCGACAAACAAGCCGTCTTGTATGGATACATGGACGGATAATATATTGAACGATGCTGCGTTTTGCGCCAGATTCTGCCTCACGAAATTTGTTCACACGGCTAATACGGGAGATTTTGCTAAGGACAGATGTCTTCAATGTGACGAATACACATCAGGGCCAGCTTTCATTCAAGGAGCTGGTGCGAACCGCCGGTCAACGGGACTCAGGAGCGACATCGATCGTGCGCAATTGATAGGTACACAGTGGGAACAAAAGATATGTAAGGTTGGTTATTTCAGCCAATTTCGCGCGGAATCGTTCTTAGGCATTTCAGTCTGAGGCTGTTTTTGTGGCTGTGCCGGGGCTGGCTTTTGGGTTTGACGAGAGGTGGAGCATCGCCGCCGCGTGGTGGTGCAGCAGCACACGTTTTCTCTTCGAGGCTCGTCGCGCGAAGGCCGGCGAGCGAGCGCACGCATCTTGCGGGGTCGCGGAGATGGCTCCAAAGAGCGAGGGCCCACCTCGACCTGCCAGATCCTCTCAGTTGTCCTCTTCTTCCTCCTCCTAATCATCCTTCCCCTCCTCTGCGATTGTGGCTCGAGCCATGTCGGCTCAGGGAACTTGTGCTCTGTTATTCAGTGTTTGTTGCCGAATGCAGTCGCCTTCCTCTTTCATGGCCTTTCAAGCGTCGCATACGCTCAAACTTGTGCCGCTCCTCCTTGACTTACCTGCGATGGCAAACCGCGTTTTTGACACCACGGAGGATTCAACGTTGCACCCAATAGACCAACGTCAACGCGTTCTTGGCCTGGCATTCGCATCTGATGACACCTTGATCACTCAGCGTGGAAAGCTCAGTGCTCAATTCCGTTCTGCAAGTAGTTCTTTGGCTAGTGTCAGTGGCTTGCCTCTCACGGATTTCACGAGTCGAGGGGAAGGACAGTTGAGCGGTATCGAGTACAAGCAGTTGGGCCAGGGATTCTGTGTAAATCAAAATGGAGATCACCCAAAGGAACTTGGAAATTACACTGGCACCTCCAATGCCGATGCCAGAAGTTGTGTATCAGAGTCCCCTTGGAGCTGCGTATCAGACGTCGATGATGTTGGTCGCAGTCCTGCGTGTGCGGAGCGATGCTCGTCAATGCCACACTGCGCGGGATACGTTGTGAAACATTCGGGTCTGTGTGGATTAATTGCAGAAGAGGGTTTCTTGCCGAGTGGCGGCGACTCAACTTCATTCTACAGCTGCTTCTCGAAGCACACGTTCAAGTATAACACAAGCGTGACACCTGGCAAGGTTCCTAAGATTCTTGGGCTTACGCCGCACCGCCGGCCCCTTGGAGGGCTCGTGGTAGGTCTCTCGGGGGCCTCCTGGCAGCACTTTTGAGGCCTTTGGGGGGCCGTTTTCGGGCCTCTTGGAGCCTCTTTTGGGCTTTTGGTGGGCCTCTTGGAGCCTCTTGAGGGCTTCTTGGGGGCCTCTTGGAGCCTCCTGGAGGCTTCTTGGGGCCGAGGGCTCGAAATTTCCGTTCGGGTCCCCCGCCTGGGCCCCCTCCTGGAGTCTTGGGGGCCTCTTGGGCCGTCTTGGGGCCCTCTTCGGCCGTCTTGGAGCCTTCTTGGGGGCTTCATGGGCCGTCTTGGGGCGATCTTGGAGGCCTCTTGGGCCGTCTTGGACGTTGTGAAAGCCCAAGAGGCGAATGTGCTAAAATCGCACGTCCCCCTAAGGGAATGGGACGATTTTTGCTTCTGGGTGCCCTCTTGGGACGCCTCTTGAGGGCCTCTTGGGGCGTCTCGGGGGCCTCTTGGGAGGTCTGGGGGCCATCTTGGGCGTCTTGGAACGATCCATCGGCGACTCGGGGCCCTCTTGGACCATCTTGTGGGCCTCTTGGGGCCCCTCATGGCCCGTCATGAGGCCCGTGGCGCGTTTCCCCGGGGCCGGCCGGACCCCCCCCCTCCAAACCGACCGGACCGGGCCCCGGTGGGAGGTTTTGGGAGGGGGAAGCATCTCACACGCCGATGACCCCAAGTGGTCGGCGGATTCTATGGTCTTATTGGTTCGATGATGCGTGGAGCGTCACTGGTCTTACACGTTGGTTGGGGGCAGCAGCTCGGACGCCGCTCTCTTCAGGGAGCGCAGGGCGCCCGTCTGTTGTTCAGTTGTCTCAAGACTCATGGCGGGCGCTGAATCCAGAATACGAGGTGCGCATGGTCACCGATGAAACATTGTTCCAGTGGGTAGACCGAAGCGATTTGCCGCCTAAGTTCGACGTCATGCTGGCTGCACAGAGGTCGGATGCCGTACGCCTTGCTGTTGTGGCGAAGTACGGAGGCGTATGGATTGATGCTTCAAGCGTCATGCTTCGGCCGCTCAGGGATGTCCTGGGCGAAGATGGTGAGCGCCAAGTTTTTTTTTCAACTGACCGACTAGACCACCAAGGCGATGCACGCAATGAGAGACGCATCGATCCAAGGACGAGCTACATTGAGAGCTCGTTTTTCGCTGCACCAGCCAATGATACTTTCATTCTGCGGACGAACGAGTGCTTCCACACCTTGTTTTCGGAGGTTGCTTTCAACGGTCAGCCGCAGGAGCTCGACGCGACAGAAGTGTTCTCTGGGCGGCAGCTTGAGGAGATGAAAGTGTCGAGGCTGAACGGCTATCTGTCGATAATTGCATGCTTTTACAAAACGTTGGACGAGGATGCGGGGCTGATGCGACAATGGCAAGAGAGCCCATCTTTGCAGAAGTTCGATGCCATGAAGGGTCTTTTTCCGCATCTCATGTGGGGCGAGGACTGGCCAGGACGCTTGCTTAATCGCGTCGATGCTGAGTTGGTCGAGAAATTGAGGAACGAGCCTGAAACGCTGCTCCTCAAATTCCGACAGGAGGATCGCGGTAGTTTGGACGGTTTCAGTGAAGAGCAGCTCCGTTGTCGCGCCAGCACTCTACGGGAGTTGTTGGTACCTGCCGGACTTGCCCTGCCCGTTTGCGCGCGGTGAGCCCTGCGCGCACGGTGGTGCCCCTCCTCTTTCGGGGGAGCGTAAGACCCGGGTTTGCCAGGACTCGGGTTCGCCATCGTTTTTTGACGACCGCGCCTCGGATTTTGACGAGGAGGAGTTTCGTGGGATGTCCGCAGCGGGAGGCCTCGTCAAAATGCAGGCTCGGCCTCGTCATTTTTTTGACGACCTCGTCGGGGATTTCCGAGTCCCCTGTACCCAGGTCTTACGTCCCCCTGACTCTTCAGTGTAGAGGAGCAAGAGGTGCTGACAATGACACGTTCCAGCACTGCCCAGATTCCCTAGTGCTCCGCACGGGCTGCGGAAGCGAGGGCCGCTGGATACTCCCTGGAACTCCAGGAACGTCCCCTGACCCAATTCGACGAAGAAAGATTGCGAAAAACATTGTTTTTTTGCAATCCTTCGTTTTTTTGCAATCCTTGTTTTTTTGCAATCCTTCGTCTTTTTGCAATCCCACATAGGCATAGACTTTTGGCGCTCCGCGCGAATTTCTTGGATCCGCGCTGGGCCCCCCTGGCGGCGCCTCCGGGGCCGCCCCTGGCGCGCTCCGCGCGCCAGGGAGGGGGGTCCGGCGCGGATCCAAGAGATCAACGCGGAGCGCCAAACGTTCATGTTTATATGGCTTTTCCTTCTTCTGCCAACGACATCATGACATCGTTCTCGTCTTGGGTCGGGCCTGTCCCCCCACAGGGGGATTTTCGACGAAAAGCTACAAATGCCCCAGAAATATTGAAAAGATAACCCAACATACCAAAAAGATGGTCCCCAGACTGTTCTTGGAATACCTTTGGATACTCCTCCTGTGGAGGGACAGGCCCAGACATGCGACGTCCTGATTTTTACAGGACGGCGTCCCAAGAAGTCCCGACCCTTTCCCCGGGACCAGTTTTTCGTCCCGAGTCGTTTTTTGACGGTCCCGAGGCCCGGCGAGGGCCCCCCGGGGCCGAAAATAGCCAAAAGCCTCTCGTCCTGATTTTTTTAGGGCGCGAGCCTGTCTGGGGGCCCGACTTCGTTCTCGCCTGGTCAGTGGCGCAGGCGCGCAGCAGCGGCGGGGGGCGACCACCCCCCGCGAGAGGCGCCTGGCCGCGCCGCGCCTCCCGCGTCGCACGGCGGTCTCCTGCCGAGGGGATCCTCCTCCTCCTCCTCCTCCTCCTCCTCCTCCTCCTCCTCCTCCTCCTCCTCCTCCTCCTCCTCTCTCTCCTCCTCCTCCTCCTCCTCCTCCTCCTCCTCCTCCTCCTCTCCTCCTCCTCCTCCTCCTCCTCCTCCTCCTCCTCCCTCCTCCTCTCCTCCTCCTCCTCCTCCTCCTCCTCCTCCTCCTCCTCCTCCCCCTCTTGCTCCTCCTCTCGGCACAAGCGAGATGGGTACGGAAAGAGTGGGCACCATGCCCAGCAGCAGTCCCTGTTCGCTGTGAACAGGATTCGCTGTCCGCGCCGCCGCGGCCTGTGTCCATTTGAGACGAACGGCCGCCTGCCCAACAGCGGCCGCTGTTGGTTTGGGACAAGATTTGTTGTTTGGCCTTGTGCCCATTCTTTCCGTACCCAATTCGGGCGTCCAAACTTGTCGCCCACATTCGGTGGCCACATGTGAACCCCACCCCCAGCCTCCACGATTTCTGAGGGGTGTGTGGGTTCGTTTCGTTCGGGGGGCCCCGCGCGGCCCCGAGAAGCCGTGGGGGGTGGGGGTAGGGTTCGCATGTGGCCACCTGCACATCGCCTCCTCATCGTCAATATTTCGGTGCACTTCTGTTGTGACCAGGTTCGGGCCACCCGCCCTGGGCTCGATCTCTGGACTTGCGGACTCGGTTCCAGCTCTCTTCCTCCCTCGTGCTTCCCTCCTTTTCTTGTTCGTCGTCCTATTCCTGAGGATTTCTGGACAGTTCTTGCATGGTTGAGGCCCTCCCCTAACAGTTGGGAAGCTGGCAATTTCCATCATCCGCGCTGAACCTGTCCTCGCCGTCTGCCTTCTCGTATG